TGCCTGCTACTTACTCCTCTGACACTGTGTATCTGTCAGCCAATGGCTCACAGGCCACGCCGCCAATCCACACGCCATGGGCCACATCGCTGAGCCGCCGGCCCAGGTTCCTGCCGTGGATGGTCAACAGGGTCCCACCGTCCAAGGGGCCACTCAGGGGCTCAATCTGCCGGGTGACCAGAGAATAGGGATCTGAGGCTGGGATGCAGGCAGGGATCCCCACCACTGTCACAGGCACCCAGGGGGAGGCGGGGCCGCACAGACCGGCCACTTAGGGGAGGCTCCGAGAATGCTGGGATTGCTAGTCACCTCACAGGTCACTGGGCTGCCAGCAAGGGTGTGTGTGTGTGTGTTATTAAGCCCACTAGTGTCTGGGGCCACAGAGTGTATGGACAGGCTCAATGCTATGGGGGGTGGGGGGTCTCCTGAGGAAACCACGTCTGACCACACGATCCGGCATCCCAGCCAGAGCTGACTGGGCCTGGGATGGGCAGGTGACTCAGGCTGACTCCTCCCCTCACCCACCCAGGCTGAGCAATCAGAATCATTCCCCGAGACGTTTTTCTTAATTAAAACGGAGGCTTGGGGGTAACTGGCATCCTCAGTTGTCACCATGTCCCCTGCCGTTGCTATAACACTAGACACACTCTGTCCAGCATCTCCACCACCCGCCTCTCAAGGCCCCTGCGCTGCAACTTTTCTCCGTAGCACTTGCCGCCTCCTCTATAACTTATTCCCTTACTCATCCCTCCCTAAAGCATGGGCTCCCTGAGGGCAGGCACTCTGTTTTGTTCACTGCGATGTCTCCAGGCCTGCAGAGGCCCAGCACCCAGGTGTTCAACAGGCAACAGTGCGAGTGTGCTGGGCGTGCAGGCACGTGTGCTGGGCGGGAGCTCAGGCAGAGGCTCCCATGGGGGTGGGGGTGCTTACCGCCCGGATCTCGGGGGCAGGGCAGGCTCCAGGCAGGGGCTGCAGGGGCCCCCGAAGGCGACAGCTGTCACTCCACACACACAGGTGGCCTAGGTCCTCCCGGCCCAGGCACTGAGAACAGTCAGGGCTGCCCATGGCGCAGTTATAGACCTCCACTGGGAAAGACATGCAGGCAGCAGGGGTCAGCCCCCCATGACCGCTGTCCCCTCCACACTCACCCACGCACTGTGGTGCCCACCCACAGGCAGGCCCTGTTTCTGAGGGTCAGGACCCCAGGAGGTTCTTGGTACTTCCTCCAAACCTCCTGGGGCCTGTGCTAAGCCCAGGACAGCCACAGCCTCGTTCATACCATTCATCCCCACCGCAATTCTATCCGACGGGAGCTGTTTATTAGCCCCAATTGGCAGACAAGAGAGGAGGCTCAGAGAGGTCGAGTGACTGGTCAAGGTCACAGAGCCTATGAGTGACGGAGCTGGGATGCGCACCCATGTCTGAGTGGGTCTTTTTACCCCACAGCGGAGGTCCGGGATGCTGGGAAACACTGAGCAGCGTGGGTTCTGCAGGCCGCAGACCCTGGGAGTGGCCCAAGAAGGCGTACAGGAAGGGTTCTCCAGGCCGCGGTGTGAGGCTGGGTCTGAGGCCTCGGTAGTGGGGATGTGGGGAGCCCATGCCCACGAGGGATGTCTGAGACTCCCCATGAGCAGACAGGCCTTTGGAGAGTCGATTCAAACATCGGATGAGAGTAAGGACACCAACCGCCGTTTGGGGGCTGATGGTGCCCCAGGCACCTGCTAGCTTTGTGTGCCTCATCCCCACAAATCCTCCCAAGGCCCCTGCAAAAGGTCCTGTGCCCTCGTTTCACCTGGGGACACTGCGGCCCAGAGAGGGAAGGGCAAGGACACGCCCGAGGCTACACAGCCATGGGCTTGGAGATGACCCAAGGGCATGGTACCTGGCCCAGAGCAGGTGCTCAGTACATACGTACTACAATGTCACCACAATAAATTCAATAAAAAAATAATTTTTTAAAAAAAATTAATGGCACAGAGTGGAGCCCCAAGCGAACCGATGAGTATGTAAATTGAGTAAAAAATAAATCTTTGGGCTGCTGTTTT